TAGCTTCTTGTTACTAGTAGTAAGGCCAGGAGCTACTACTAGCTTCTTGTTACTAGTAGTAAGGGCAGGAGCTACTAGTAGCTTCTTGTTACCAGTAGCTGGCACAGACAACCTTGTAGACTTAGAACCCCTGGCGTCGTGGACTTTTGTGACCCTCAAATCCAAGGAGAGAGCATGGCAGTGTAGCGCAGTGGAAAACATGTAATATAACAACATTTAATAGCCATTCGCCTTTTGGGATCTGTTGGCCGTATCATTATTGGCATGTCTTAGCGCTTGGGCGAGGCTTCCCTTTGACGTGGGACTGGTCTATGTGGATATTCTGATGTTCATCGGCCTGAACGAGGAATGGCGACTCCTTCAACTGCTGATCTTGGTGCGGATTACTAAGGCAGCTTACAAAGGGATTATCCTTTACATCCTTTGCTGACTGTATCCAGCAATGTGTCTAGCAAACCTAGGATCCCCCACCCATCTAGTCGGTGGCGTGGTTCCAAAAATGCAACTGTCGACCGGCCGAAGCCTGCTTCGTTCCTATTGTAACGAACCGGTGCTCTTTAGCACACAATGTCACAAAACGTTTGACCTTTTCCGAAGCATCCCTTGAAACTTGTTAAGTTAGGTGCGCCGCTAGGTTTGCACTGTCTACGCTGAAAAAAAAACCGGGAGATCCAAAGGACTGTTCAGGCTGAAATCAGTCGATGTGCCAAAATCGATTGCGGTCCTTTGAGGTCAAGAGGGGCCTGATTTTCATCGAGAACCATTTGGCTGCCCGTGGAAATATCAAGTTGGTGCTCTACTTGACGATCTTCCGGTGCATCGTTCAGATCCTGGCAGTGAACCATGTCCTTACCTGTTTCTTCTTCTGGCTAGGGACATGGGAAGCAAGAAACGCTGAGCCTAATTGGATCCAGACATACAACATTGGAGACGATAGCTATAGCCTTGGTTTTCAGTATTTCTTGACCTTCAATTGGGTGATCGCACAGTATACACCTGCTCCTTTCCCTTTGCAACCTCAAAATTTTCGGGAGCAAGTCTTCGTGGTGGGCATCATTCTTACTTGCTTGCCATTGCTCGGATCAGCGCCTTGACTTCGATATTCGACTTGGTGGCGGAACAAGACCTGTAAGAACATCATGCATTTAGCGTCTCAAACCAAAAGCATTGTGCAGGGCATTGTCGCTCATTTTCCTTAACCCGTAGAAGCTCCATTGGACATATGTATAGACGGTTTTTTCACAGTCATGTTTTTTTCACGCTTGCCCCACCCTCCCTAGTTTGTAGCAGAGGCAGGTCGAAACGAAACGATCTGGTGGTCGCTACGTCGGTGGGGTGGGACGTGATAGCTTGCTTGAGCATGTTCGAGGCTTCGGCTTGGATTCAGTGGTTTTTATGTGCAATCAACTCTGACTGTTCTATTGATTTCTCCACATTCGCCAGGAGATTGGGAAGGTGAGTGGTACCGTGAATCTGCTCAATGAGAAGGCTCGGGAGCGGGAGACTCGGATCTATCTATATATAATCGCATCGTCCACGTTGGCTTGCACCAATCTATCCAATGTGGTTGTTGGACACAACCTATTGAGCCAATGTTTGGTGGACAAACTTGAATCTACAGTGACCTCAGGCATTTGATGCTGCGCACCAATCTACAGGATTGTGACCCACAGCCATATGGGAGCCATGCTGAATCCATGCTTTTCATGACAGAACAGGATCACTTGGGCAGTCCTGTGAACGCTAGCAGCTAGCATTTTGGCCGGGTGTTGCTCATTGCGAGCGTTCCGTCGCCATTCCCACCCCGATTTGTTCCATGTTGGATCATGGGATAGACGCAGGTGAAGTAAGTGTTCAGCCAGGATGTAGACGATCGGCCATAGAATTGGTGTTTTTTATTTGGACCATGGGATCTGAGGACACGCTGCGACGCGATCTTCAGAGATGGCTTCGCAAGACTGAGGCAGCAGAGGTCTTGTCTAGACGGATCTTGGCATCGCTCAACGATGTTCTAACATCCAAGGATTCCCCGCTCGACGTGAAGGAGCCGATGGCGCTGAAGTTTCTGCCCAGCACTCTGCTGGAAGAGCTACGGATCCTGAAAATGAGTGAAAAACTCTCGAGCCATCACCTTTTCAACATGTTGATGGACCCGAAGTTGGGGATCTCTGGCGATTTGAGCTCGATCTTCAAAGTGAAGCATGTAGTTCAAGGGGAGAGTGCTTTTCAAGCAGGAGAGCGTGCAGAAGGCCTTTGCATCACCCAGAGCGGTGCTTTTCACCTACACCAGCCTCCGAATGGAAAATCGGCCACGTCGAGAGGCACTCAGCCTCAATCCCAAGCCCTGGTGAAGTTGGCGAGCCGAAAATCGGCACAGCACTTTTCCGTGAAAGCAGGTGAAGAGCTGAAGGATTTGGGTGGGCTGCAACTCTTGAACAACGTTTGGATTGCTGAAGCCTGCCTTTATTGTGGCATGTCCCATTCCTGCTGCCTCACTGCCAGGACCTACTCCAAAGTGTCATTTGGAGCTCACAAGATTGGTTGGAAGGTGGTTTCCCATTGTTAGGCTTAAAGGACAGCATGGCAGGTTCAAGGTGACATGTGTAAAGAAACAACTGGAAGGACGTTGCGGGATTCCCGCACTCCCCCCGATTCATCCCCAATCCCAGGCTTTCCGTCGCAGTGCCGGACTTCGTCGCGGTCATCATGCAGTTTCCAGCCTCGGTGGTGGCGGTGCATGAATACGCGGTCTACATCATACGTTGGCTCACGGAGACGCTCAGACCGCGTTGCGACTGTTGGTGATGGTCGTTGCGACGTTTTGGGGGGGGTTGGCTGCTATGGCGCGAGAACAGCAGTCTTGTTCGGACTTGTTCGGTTCTTTGCTCTTTGAGGATCTGAACAGTGATGGAATTGTCAAAGTGGCCATTTGAGACTTTGGATCAGAGAAATTTGAAGAGATCAGGGATCGGCCCCAACTCAACATGGACGTGTTGTCCTGCACAACACGCACACACTTAATACTTAGATCATGGCTCCCAAGAGCTGTATCAGTTTCGAACTCCCGTGCAGTAGCCCTTTAGTTCTTGCAGGTACACAAGAAGGCGTCCCTTCTCGCCTCACCAGCAGGCAAGGAAAGAAGGAAAGGTGCAGGGGTGCCAGGCGGGGGTTGTTGAAAGGCACGGGTACAAAGGCACTGGCCAGGAAGCCAAAATCGGCGCTCCCTTGACTGAAAAGGCCTGTGCTACACCTGAAAAGCCTTTAGCAACGAAGAAAGACCTAGAAAACGAAGAAAGCCGAAAGAAGAAAAACAAAACATCAAGCACGTCCTATGACTACTTAGCTGCATGACGTGATTCCTATGAATACTTAGCCGCAGGGCATGTCATTCTTTGGATGAGTCAGGGGCCCTGCGGCATTCGATCAGCAATCTCAAGCAAGATCGACAATTCTGTGGAACTTGCCCCCTTAAGGGTCTATGCTCAACGCGTCCCTCGACGGGGATTGCACAGCACACCACAGAGGGACAGGACGATGCTGCGAAGCACACTTAGATCATGGCTCGCAAGAGCTGTATCAGTTTCGAACTCGCGTGCAGTAGCCCTTTAGATGGAATAGTTAGCGCTTGACTTGAGGGAACGGCAAGAAGTGCTGGGTCAGTTCAACAGAAGGCTTCAACAAAACGCAGTAGCAAGAAGTGCTGGATCAGTTCAACAGAAGGCTTCAACAAAACGCAGTAGCACTTTAGAAAGGATTAAAAGTTCCCGCAGGTACACAAGAAGGCGTCCCTTCTCGCTTCACCAGCTGTGCGTCCGTTTTCATTGGTCGAGGGACCACTCACAATTGCCTGAACCCCTGCTGGGAAACTGTACAATTGATTAAAAAGCTCCTTAGTGTGGTCAAATTCCTTAGGGACAGGAGTTGACACACACACACACACACACGCACGCACGCACGCACGCACACACACGCACACACGCAGCGCACTGTCGTCAGTCATTGGGGTCCTTGTGGTACAGGATGGTAGGTCCATCCACAGGGTTCTCGTTGTCTATTATTTTGTTTAACTCTTGCGATGTCATTAACGTAGACACGTCACTTCTCACTCTAGCTACACCATGCTACACCTAGCTGCCATGATTTCTCTATTCTAGAGTAGCCTTAGTGGGTGTCCCTCCCATGTGCCTTACTCTTGTGATCAGATTCAAATTGTTGTCAAACTAACCCAGAGGCTCCAAAGGCTGGTCTATATGCAGTCATTTCCAGATGACTGCTCTCAGACCGTACGACCGCAAATAGCGTAGTCTAACCGCAGTTTTGGTGGTCATTTCTAGTAACCGATTCTCGAAGGAATGTCCGATGAATTTCGACATCGTTCTTTCGCCCAGCCCACATCAATCCAGACCCAACCGCTGCCTTTTATCAAGCCTCCACGCATCTTTGCACACTCGGCTGACTCTTGGCTGCACACACAGTGGGCGAGATCGGTGGATACCGGTGGCCATGTTGGTATTTAATCTTCATGATCTATGTTCATGTCCCACCCACTGGGTCCCAAGTGGCTAATCGCAGTAGCCACCTGCAAAGAACCCTAAGTTCCATGAGATCACCTCTATGGACTTTTTGACACAAACGCTTACTAAGACCTATGTGGTCTTCATCGCAAAAGCAATGGTAAAACCGACAATTAATTCCATGCCGCAAGTGGTCCTCGGCAATGTGTATGAACGCGTGTAGTTTTGGCTGCAAGCGCCACCGACTCTTGTTGGCACGAAGCGCTACGACAGCCAGCCGCTCCAGCACGAACACAAACTTCATTGCAAGCCCATGTAGCTCCACTTGGGCGTCCCGGTCAAGGAATCGTGGTGAGCGTTCCACCAAATCAAACCAAGAGCGCAAAGCCCGAGCCGCAACACAAGCATTAACGATCTCGGCAGTTCGGGTCAAGTCTTCCAAGCTGTGGAGGCACGAGTCCACGAAGATAAGAAGGAGGCGACCATTGAATGCCTTAACACATAGTGTTGGATACCCATCTGCTGTGTTCAACAGCCCAGGGTGCATGAAGCCCTGTGAATGCCTGAGCAGATTTCCAGACAAGAAGACACCCCTTAAACTTCCATAGCAGCTCCCACACGAAATACAAAATTTGTTAGTAATCCTCGAGCTAGATACTGATGCTGGTTCACTCTCGCCCATAATCGAAACCGTGCCGACATTTCACGGAAGCAGTCATCTGAATTTCCATCCCCAAAGAATCCTGGGCGACCATCCCAAATCAAACTTATTGTGGGCCATGAGGAGATTACTGCAGGACACATTCTGGGCGCCAATACTAGAAAAATGTGTTGAATAATGAAGTACGAAAGTTCGATGCTCCATGAGAAGACTCACGCAGCTTCCAAGGAAATTCTGTAGTATTCCCAAATTAACTGTATGCATCGAACACCATCTTATCAGGCTAGGTGAAAATGCAGGGGCGGATAGCAAAGGATGATGGTACCTGTGGGGACCATAGACATGATCGATATCAGTTCAATACTTATGGCTCTGGCCAAAACAAATTTAACAATAACTGTACGTTTGTTCACTCTGGCCTGAAACAATTTGCAATGGCGTTGCTGGTGCTTCTCCGTGCAAATGTTCTCCCAAATCGTGTCCACCTGAAAGGCTGAAGTGAGGTAACCCAACCCAACAAACAAGGGAGGGCAGAAACTACATACACCATGTGGCCATGTGGGCAGACACTGTTGGCTTCAGGCAACAGACAAGAGACCTGCCCAGAGGATACCCTGCTCTTTTTGCATTGCACTGGTGGCAGAAGTTTGAAGCACCCCAGTGGCAGGAAAGTGCAAAGGCTTCCCTCTGCCATTTCCAGTCCCCGCGGTATTCGATGCAAAATGCAATTCCGCCTGAGGAATGCAGCGAATGGCTCGGCAGGGGGCCCCATCTTGTGTTGTTTTGAACACAGGGGTTGCGTGCCAAAAACCCAACATGCAGATGGTCATATTGCTCACAGTACTGCGCCTGCTATTGGCTTCCCAGCATTTTTCGAGTTCAAAGCAGGCAAAGGATTGCCCTCAAAATCCTCCGTGGGGTGGATGCCAGAAGCTAAAACCTAGGCTGCGACAGGGTGACACCAGTGGACACCACTAGGTTGGGCCCATTGTTTAAACACAACGCTATCTTGAAAAATATATATCACAAGTTGGGTTTGATTGAAGATGTGAAGCGCGAAGGCTCCATGCAATGACCTGGTAAACCCGCTTGAGAGTATAGTCTGGCACAACCAATGCACAGCGCATGATCAGGACCGGAAACCGTGCAAGGTCTAGTCCTTGGGATGTAGTTTAACACAAAGTGGCAAACAGAAAGGGTTTTGCTCACAAATAGGA